GTATAACATGATATATATTTCTGTGTATAAATGTATAAAATATCGCATGAAAAAGACGGAATATTTACTTTGACGTACAGTATACGCGTGCGTAACTGCATGAATTTTCATAACGTAAAATCGTAAAATAACGTGAATTAAGCTATATAATAATTTGATGATTTTCAAACTTTTGATTTGATTCCCTTTAAAATATCAATAATTAAGATTTTTCATCGTAATAATAAAAATTAACATTCTAAAATATATCTTTATACTTGAAAAACGAAAAGGGGGGGGGGCACCGAAATGATTGACAAGGGAAAACGTACAAAACTCAAATCAAAAATCTTTTCTTCTTCTAAAAGACATTCCAATTTATGGCCTATTTAATGGCAGAAAATGGCAGAAATCTACAGCACTGCAACAATAAAAGAAAACATTTAGACAAAAAAATGCTACTGTGGTAGTACAAACTATACATGCACATCTTCCTACAAGCTTGGGCTAGCAGGTTGGTAGAGCACTGGACTGGCAAGTCAGAGGCCCCGGGTTCAATCCCACTTAAGCAGAGGCACTTAATTGTCTCCGTTACACTATCAAAGTAGTTATCTTAAAAAAGTTCGAGCAGCCCCTACCACCCCCTCCCCCGGGCATTAAAAGTCTGTACAATACACAGTATAAAAAGAAAGTTTTGTCAAAGTTTATGTTTTAAATACCTGAAGTTTTAAAGAGTGCGACAGGGTTTTTTACCTAAAGAATACCGCTTTTCTTTTACCACATTTAATATATGTATTTACATGTCTTAGTTTCGAATGTTTAAATACGGGAAAAAAGTACGCAGAATTACGCCCTCATCTCTGAAGAATTTTTGGGTTATTAATAAAATATTCTGCATACAGGAATAAATTGTATTTGTCTCTTGTAGTAGAGTTCGATCCTTTTCTTCTTTGGATGTCGTTATGAAATCGGTCTTTAATTCACCTGAGAACTTGTAAGTTGTCAAACCTGTTTCCAATCCTTTTGTATATCTCAATAAATGCGTGTTCAACTCAAAACAATAAGATTAGGTGCATCAAATTTTGAAGTGTTAAATTAAAGTTTAAACCATTATTTCTTGTTAATCTTTAAATATTTTATCAATTTGTCCTGGCCCTCCGTTTCTTATTTTATATTTATGTTTAATTCATTGAAAAGAAATATGTTTAGAATTATTTCGTAACTAAATGCGTTTGCATACTTTTCAGTGAATCAGAATGTAACACCCACCCTCATCCAATAATATACGTATGAATATTTTAAAATATAGTTTGAAAAAAATCTGCAATTTATATGCATGTATGAAGTTAATCATGAATTAACTTTGACCGATCATTGTATACTAACTGAATAACAAACCACAATATACATGAATCCCACAAGTAACACACTCAACAACTTCATTTACATTCATTTCTAGACATAGACTATAAGGTCTAACTTAAACTTGACCGTAACCGTCCTTAGAAAGTACATTTACACATAATGATTTATTCTAATCATATCAAATATTAGTTGCAACAGAAAGTAGGAGAACGGGTAAAACATTCTTAATATTCTACCATTATCGTAAACGGGGGGGGTTCTCGGGTATGGACATTCACACTTAATTAATTACCTGAACTGATTAAACCAGAACAAGGCACACATGTACAATCGTAAGTTGTAACTTTTGTAATTTTTTTAAAAAAAATAATAATTAGTTGATGTAATTTATACAATCATAGGATTTTTTAAATAATTAAAACAAGAAAGCTCTATAAATAGGTTAGTTGAACAAGCACGCAATATTCAAGTCGAACAACATGACTGTATTTTTTATGTTCGATAAATCCTTTATCTTAAAACATGGAGCGTTTTGATAATTGTTTTTTTTTTCATATTTTGTTCAGATTTGTACCGTACTAGTTTTGCTAATTTTTTCACAAAACTCCCCATATATGTACATGTAGGCATGTACAATGCGACTTTGCAGGGAAAAAAAATATTGAAATTGTTTTAGTTTGTTACATGTATAAATTAAAAAATTACGTGTAACTGGTAGCAAACTTTAATAATTTGAAATGCATAAACGTATTCATTTTATATTGCAATTCGACAGAAGGAAACAAGATTATTATTTTCCAAGATAGATGTGAAATCATAAAATGTTGGTAGGAAAATCTTTGTCTGGGTAATAATTATTACAGGTTAAATAAATCCTTGATATTGAGGGTTAAAATAAAATCATTAAAATGAAAATTTGTAACTCTAAATGTTTAATGTAAACTTTCATTCTGTTCTAAGTTCAAAGGGCTGAATAAGCACCGGAGACTGCATTACAACATGTGGCAGCCCAAATCAGCGATTTCATGAATGGCTGACATTATGTTGTTTTCAGGAATCCAAAACTCTAATTTATAAAGTCACCTCAATCACAAAATATCTTTGAAAGTGGGACTGTATAAATGTATGCGAGCACCCGCACTGTATATACATGTATTCACGACAAAATTTGCGTGAAGTCTTCAAAGAGCAGACACAGGAGACGGAGGGGGGAGGCAAATTTTTCCTTCATTTTTGCGTACATGAAAAGTTGTTAAACATTAACAAAATAGATTGAGTAGCTCAAAAGCCCTTCCTTCAAAATATTCATTTTAATTAAATCAACAGCTAAAAACTAATTCCGGAAGAAGTGGCCAAGTCAAATACTCTGCGTCGTATCTATAGAGAATTACATTTTTTAAACTTAACTTCACTATTTATCAATATCCTTGGCAAGCTATCAAAGATTATATACAGTTCTTACTACTTGCACAGAAAAAAGCAACAAAGAGCAACGTATTTTTCTAACTTACATCATCTACGAAAGTGAAAAGACTTAACTATATATTTATTTAATTTAATTATGCTTAATATAACGCGGTATTTTATTGGATAAAGAACTGATTTTTTATTGCATAAATTGGGTTACCTATATCACAATCACTTGCATAAAAAACATGTCGATCCCCCTGACGTAACACTTCAATATTGTACTATTGGAACTGTTGAAGTGATTTTTAATGAAAATCCTCTTTGTTCATACATGAAATGAGTAATAACTATTAAACTATAAGGACTGAAAAAAAACTATCCAATTTATATATACGGTGTAAACTGGGTTGGAACAGCGTACAATTTTTTATTTTACATAAACCGCAGCGTTAACTGCCCATCTCTGTTTATACCGTATAAATTGGGAAGCTAGGAGAGGTAATTCAGGTCAATTTTCACTGCATCGATATTTTAAAAATAGACACCTTTCCTGTTTTATGCTCCTGTTTAATTTTTCTTGCATGTACATCACGATGAAACAGATGGAAATTAGCAGCTTAAATAATAATAAAAAACTATCTTTGAAAACTTCTTTGTTTGACCTTTTAAGATGAACCGACTAAAATTTTTTTTGAAAACCTCCGAATTAGTCATTCCGAAATTTTCTCATCCAATCAACAACTATATTTTTTATTTCAGAAATGCCTTCAATCCTATTTAACATTTAACATTACTAGACTGGTGTTACCTGTCTTTACCGTACGCATATCGGATATCAGACAGGCAGGCCAGTCTAGAACATTTCCGACAAAAAAATTCGACTTACCTACCGACGCAATCTTTTTTTAACTGAATTAGAGAGAGGGCAAACAAACTTCATTTAAAAACGGCCTCACGGGAATTTTCTAACCACCACTGGACATCTTTTAAAAAAAATACACTTAATAATTGTGAAAAGGATAGGTCACACAGACACTTGACAGAAAATAATTTCTTAAAGAATAAACTACATCAAACCACACCCAAGAATCTTTCTTAGCATTTAAATAAAACATCACCTTGTTCTGCTGGGGAGAGTTTTTCTCGAGAAGGCGGTTTTACGTCGCTTTTACGTTGTTGACTTTAGACGCGTTTTTTGACGTTACGTCATAATTGATATAAGGGAGGTTTTTGCTTGGCGCGTCACATATTAAAAAGTTAATATGTAATTTATTTATATGTACGGTATGGTCCAATTGTGTTACACGAAATCGGACCACTGTTTGCTGTGAGCATCCGAGACCACGTGATCATGAATGGTTCAATTAAAAGCGGTTTATCATCCGACTCAAAGAGAAAATATGTTTTACCAAATAATATTTCATAACTTTTAAAAGTGATGGAAGGGAATTGTCTTATTTGCAGAAAGTATATAACTTATATAACTTTGTGAGACACCGCATGTATTAATTTCTTTTAAAATAAAACACTAATACGGCATATTTATTTTTAAAGTCAAGATCAAATACATGATTTATACATACATTTTGCTTCAAGATTCATTATGAGTCATAATCAATTTCAACTTGACTTTTCCAAACTACTACTCAAATTGAATAATGCAGATAGCAAGTCATTTTTAGGTTATTTGATTTGAAATCTTCTAAGACTACACTTTAATGATACCGACACAGGCCTAAAAGAAACAAGATGGTTCGACAAACACTTCCCTTTTGATGTTTATTTATGCACAATGATAAAAAAATATTTATAAAATTATAACTGTATTTTATTTTGTCTGATATTTAGAAATGTCCTACATAGTTACTAATCCTTTTCCATTTTAATTGGCAGTTTAGGATATTGATTTTTACCTTGTTATAGTTCATATTATGACCCTACACCTTATTTGATCAAGCTAAGTATTTTTGAATGCATTTATTTCTCAAATTTGATAATGTGTAAGCATTTTTCATTTACTAGACCTGGATTTTAAGTTTTTCACAAATATCTTTTGTTAATGCAAAGAAATTTCTTCATAGCAATGACAGACATGGATATCGATAGATGAAGGATTATATCAGCCCCGGAGTGACTCAGATGACTTGCTTTAAATACAGTGTAGAAGAACATATTCTTTATAGCTTTCATATTTTTATTTGTTTACGCTTTATTGTAGATAATGAAAATGTTGCATTACAACGCTATTCCCAATTGTATTACCGGGATCCATATACATACTATATACCTTCTCATCATTTGTTTGATGGATCCACTAAACAGCCCAGCTGCATTGATTTTACCTCTTCTTCGACTGGAAAGACGTATTACTTGAACATTTACTCGATGAGTTTATGGTATTCTATTCACAACATCAAAGACATACGTTTTTATTTCAAGAATAAAGGTAAGGAATATTTTATCAAATTATGAATGTATCGCATTTTCCGTTGATATTATACTTTATATTTTTTTTATAAATTATTATCATGTAGAAATATGGAAGGTATCCAAGCTACCGCACAAAAGGCCCGAATATTCTCTTTATTCATTATTGCTGCACTTGATTTTCTGGAAATAAGAAACAAGATAAGTTCAATATGAATTAATGAAAAAGAAATCCCTCAAAATACATGTATTAAATATATATTATTATAACAGTAACTTGATTCGAAGGGTCGTATCACGTCGAGTTGAGAGGCGCGGATGGTCAGATCAAACGACACGCGAAGCTAAATATAGCAAAATAAAACTTTAGAGATGTATTGTGTAATAGTTATGCATAAAACAAATCATAATAACAAGGGACTTTTTAACACACAAGAAAAGTAACGTTATGTTTCTGCGTACTGCTTCATCAGTTGTGGTGATATGGATTCAGAAAACCACAGTGTGGTGATCCGGAAAGTCAGATCACGGCGTCACGTGATTGCATAAAATCAAAAGTAAAATTGAGTGATACACGTTTGGTATATAATAAATTGTTGGTTCTATTGCTTTCATACATCACATGCATATGTTCTGAAGAAAAGCTTCATTCTGACACCAACATATTTGCATTCCCTTTTCCTTGGAGTTGCAGATGTTTGAAAAATTTACCTTGTCCATAACTTTGAAAATTTGGTAAACATCCTTTTCATTTTTTTTGGGGGGGGGGTCTTAAGCCGGAAAAAGCAAGCAAATTTTTTTCGTCATATGATTCATTATACAGGTGAAGCAACTACAGACCCTGAGACGTGCTACTACCCCACACGCTCGCTGCACGAACGGTTCAAGAACGCTACACGGTTTGAACGAAACGCTGCACGGTTTACACGAAAGGCTACACGGTTTGCACGAAACGCTACACGGTTTACACAAAATGCTTTGCACGAAAGGCTGTATGAAACGCCTTGTACACGTTTCGTACACGCTTTGTACACGAATCTCACACGTTTTGGCCTCAGTTTGGATTCTCTCTCAGAATCACTCGGACGGTTTTATTATTAAAATATTAATTACATCTCATTTTCTCACTACTAATTTAACTGCTGTTTACATTAAAATTCAGTGAACAGCAGTATTAATACATAAACCGATAGAAATATTCAATACACTGACAGTTGTAATTGATTAATAAATGATTGTCAATAAATAATTTTGTATTTATTTTATCAGTTGTATAGAGATATAATGCTGATATCATGGTGTACATGTATGTATAATACACTTTATTCGCAGGCCTAATCACTTCATTATAAAATATGTTTTTTATATACTTAGTATTTGTGAGTCATTACAATATTTTCTTGCGTTTAATTATTTTTAGACGTATTAAATTAATCAAATATTTAATTTTTTTACTTCAGGTAGCTACAACTCATTTATTGATTTTAAATAACAGTCATTGAATAATTTGCGTTTGGTTTTCGTAGGCAGATTATTTTTCTTGTTTTCTTTATTAAATAATAAAATTTGTCTATATTGTGTCCGACAAAAGATTAATTTAGGATCCGCTTTTTAAATTTCAAAATGTACATGTATATATCATGTCAGTAAAATTGCATAACAGATGTAGTCGAGTTAGTACATGTTAGTACTAGTTTGTTTTTTTTTTTACTACGTAAGCCAAAAACCGTCCATTCTGTGAGAAGGAAGAACTGCTGGAGGGCCATTAGGCCCGACAATAGTTCTTTTTTTCTCACAGAATTGACAGTTTGAGGCCTATAAGCTACTTAAAACATATTGTGTTCATAATGTATTCTCATAGAACTTTTTCTCCTCCATTGTATTAAATAAGCATTGTCTACTTATTGGACTGTCTCAGGTGAACAATCAAAAGAAACTTGTATTCATTGCAATTGTTAACCTAGTACACAGTTACAGGTAAATGCAAAATTAAAAAACCGACTAAAGAATATTTAATCACAAGGCATTAGATTCCATCACCATTTTGTTGTGATTGTGAATGTTGAAAGCATGTCTTCTTCCAAAGAAGCATATTTTGATGCAAAATAACTTCAGATATGATGGACAATGCATGGTCATTCTTGTGATATTTTGGGGCTAGGATTTTCAAGAAAATGAACTTTGGGCTCAAGGTAGACATTTTATTTTTCAAATATTTCTCAGCTTTGGGTAAAGGGTTTTCAAGGGTGCAGAAAAAAGCAAAGGAAATGTAGAAAGATTTCCGTAATTTAATCAACAATATTCAGATATAGAAGTGGATAATCAGAGCGGAAATGTAACCGGGTAGTTATTGTGTTCTTTAACTGAGAGGAGTGGACAAGACTAATGACAAAACACTCTTGCATTCCTGTAGTAAAAAAACGAGCGGTGTGGTCCTGTAGAAAAACGAGCAAAATAATCCAAGAACTAGTGAGAAATAAGAAAATTTTAAAAGGAGCGATTACTTCTTGCCAGGAGAAGTGATATCCCCTCGTGTGTTGTTGGTGCAAATTACATTCCAATAGAATCCAGAGATATTTCCTTCAAATTTTAGTTTTGATATTCTTTGTGAGTAACATTTCATCATTACTAGAATAATTACAAATTTCAGATTCGTTTCTCTGACTTGGAATGAATTATTTGATTACAATGTGAAACATGTTGAATTAATTGCCTGTAAAATATTTATTAGTATTTATTTTTGTTTTGTTTTCTTAATCCAGTAGATTACCTGTAGCCATACATAAGTTATTGGAAACTGTCCATTATTTTTTATAATAGACAGATTTTCAAACTTATTGGACAGCTTCAGGTAACTTACTGGACTGTTTTTGGCCTTGCAAGAAATAGAAAGCATTTAGAGAACAAAAGATGATTTAAAAGAGAATACAAAAATTAAACATAATATTTAGAAAAATCAAAAACTTATTGAAACTTACGTAAAAGTTAACAACAAAATTCAAAGACTTTACTATCATTGTCTTTTGCCCCCCCCCCCCTATAAACATTCACACACTCCTCGGGAATATCTAAACCTGTGCTAGACGGTGCAAGTGAATTAAAATTCTCCTCCATTTATTTGACAAGAATGAACAACAAATTAATTATGTTTTAATAGGTATTAAATGACACACTGCTTTTGAAATTTCAATCAAATATTATAAAAGTTAAGATAAGAGCGGGTATCGTTCTGCCTAAAATTACTTTATGTATGAATACTGTTATATAATTCTTTCTTTAAATAAAAATAAAATATTGATAGTATATTAAACTAATTGCACTTAATATTGTTGTACATGTACATATACATTATGCACAGCGTAATTAATAAATTTGAACACATTTTCTTTAGAAGAAAAAAAAAACCGCAAGCAAATGCATTATACATTACTGTGTAATTTCATTCAGTTTTCCCGTTCTTTAACTCCTAAAATACCACAAGAATAACTAATAAAATACTAACACATTTTGACACCCTGACCAATCGATAGCCATATAAAAAATGAAATCGACTTAATGAATCTTGCACGTTTCTTGCACGAAAGTCGCACGTTTCTCACAAGGATCTTACACGAAAGTCGCACCTTTCTCACACGCTTCTCGCACGCTCGCTAAACAGTTTACACGAAAAGCTTTGGAGCTTACACGAAACGCTACACGGTTAACACGAAACGCTGCACGGTTTGCACGAAACGCCACACGGTTTGCACGAAAACAGAAAGCGCACGAAAGTTACACGCTTTTTGTGATTAGTAGCACGTCTCAGGGTCTGTATTTGTACGTCTTCGATATTTTTGTGTTTGCATCCCCAATTCATGAGCTTATTCTTTGATATCTCTATGCATGCTTTTATGTATCATAACAGGAACATCAAATATAAGATTCCAATATACCATTTGTCGACATTGTTCATCAGAATATCAACTCAGTGGAGAAGAAAAGATATCTGCCTCATCATCAACCGTAATTAAAATTCCATATCTTAAACAACTCTACTACACGTATATGTATATTTTGTTCAGTTTTTCTGCTGACGACCTCGCAAAAATCCACAGCTTTTCACTCTCATTCTGTGAAGTAGAAATGTATGGTAAGTCTTAATTGTTGATTCATGTTTGCGCCATTTAATGGAACGAACTACACAAATATAGCAACTCTCGATAACTGTGAAATAATATTTTGATTGGGTTTATTTTCGTTGTTTTCGGGGTATAAAGAGACCACTGATGTCATGTCCACCATGAAACATAATGTCTTATATTGTTATTTAACAATATCAAATTCTAACAAACCTAGAGTTTTTCCTCAAACCAATAAAATATGACCCCACGAATAATTGAGATTTAACAGTTTCATAGGAACATTAATTTTTTTTTATTCAAGACTTGATGTGGACAATAAAAAAGCATTTGTCTTAATTTAAGATATCCCCAAGTGCATGTATTACATGTGAATATAAAGAATAACTGTCAGATTTGTTTGTTTCATGACGATTATCACTCGATTGAATTGTGTGATTATTATGTGCATTATCATGCAGCCCAATCGATTGATCACATCATGAACCCCAAAATTAGACAGTTACTCCTTTAACAAATCCGCTGACTGTTGATTAAAAAAAAATTTGCGTCATTAATTGATTCACATTATTTGTTTGATGAGGATGCCCTAGAAATCATTACGGTAGCCCTTGCAGACCATGCCTTTCAAATTGTGACAAATGTAACGCTATTGACGGATCTTGTATTTGCCAAGCTGGTTATACCGGTGTAAACTGTACAGATGGTAAATATTCCTATTGTTCATATATATTTACAAATAATTTTCAAAGAAATATTTTTTTTTAAATGCTGTTGTCAACAGTATAAATATTGTATTTATTCTTTTCATTCTAAGTTGTCCTTAAAATATTGCAGTTTGTTCGAACAACACCTATGGTGCTAACTGTGTGTACAGTTGTGGACATTGTTACAATGATACTTGTAATCACGTGACCGGGAATTGCTTATTCGGTTGTACTGAAGGTTGGACATCAAGCAAGTGCAATCAAGGTAAGTGTTTAATTATAAGCTGTTGAAAACAAACTATTTGCCTTTGGAATGAAGAAATGGGAAAAATGTGATACTGATTTAACATGATTTTTTGTCATTTATTTAGGTAAAAAAACAGAAATAAACGTTTGATCCCAAAAAGCTAATTGAGATCTTTTTTTAAAGGTTATTATACGTGTCTGTACCTATGAGTACATAATCATCGTACTGCATCTTATATTTTATGTAGATATAATACTACTTCTAAACGTAAACAAAGTTTAAAATTAAATTGACGATTTATGTAATTTTTTAAAAAATATATTCTGCATATTTTATATGCATTTGTAATCTACATATGAATTGACATTAATTTTATGGATGGATTTTATCTTCTTATTTAGCCTGCAGTTCTGGTTACTATGGACGTGATTGTACACAGAGATGTAGCAGTCACTGTATAACACCGTACCTTTGTGAGAGATTTAATGGAACTTGTATTGGAGGGTGTGCTACTGGGTGGACTAATGATACCTGTGACAAAGGTGTGTTGTTCAAGTCGTTATTTTTAGGTCATATCTGAGTCACTTAGATGACTTATTGCTTTCTGTGTTCGTACATCGTTGTGCGTCGTCCGTCGTGAGTTAACATTTCACCAATTTCAGCTTCTTTTCTGAAACCATTGAACCAATTTCAAACAAATTTGGTTTACAGCATCTATAAAGTGTGAAGGGGGAAAATTGTGAATTTAATGGTCACCGCCCCCTGGGGCCTAAGGGGTGGTGCCAAAATGAAATCTTTTAAAATCCTCTTTACTTCTGAACACCAAACAGTCAAACTGTTGGTATGAATGTAATAAGCATTGAGTCCTCTACCAAAATTGTAAAATTCATGAGTCCTGGAACAGGGGTTCTAGTGCTAGTGCGGGGCTATATAGATTACATAGTGAAAATGCATCATTTCTTTTTTTTCTCTTCTCCTGGGTATTAAATAAACTAACTATTATGTACATAGTTATGATAAGCAAGAGTGCCTGATTAAAAAAAATGTGAATTTTATGGCCCAGGGTCAGGAGTTTGGATGTTAGGGCGGGGCTCTTTTTGTTATAAAGTGAAAATGCATTAATTCTTTGAAAATCCTCTTTTCTGCTTTTGGGTATGAAATAAACTAGCTAAGTATATAATTATGTTAAGCAAGGGTGCCTCTACCAAAATTGTGAATTTTATGGTCCCAGGGTCAGAGGTATTGCAATTTGTTGTAAGGGGGAGGGGCTCTATTGATTATATAGTGAAGATACATTAAGTTGAAACAAAAATTTCTTTGCTCCTGGGTATTATGATCCAAGTATATATATTTATGGGAAGGAAGGTGCATCTAGCAAAACTGTTTATTTCATGCCCCCATTGTCAGGGGTATCGGGGGTGCATAGTCTGAAAACTAATTATGCTTTGAATTATGCTATTTGGTATTAATCAACCATTTATGATGAAATAAAATTTATGATAAATTTTCCAAAATTTTGACATATGTGGCCCCAGGGTCAGTTGTTCCTTTAGGTTGGGGTGTACAACTCATTAAAAAATATCAGTGCATTTTTTTTTTGTTACTCTGATCTACCTACTGGTATTAAGTAAACAGAGTAATCATGCACAGTTTATAATTATGATAAGCAATAGTGCCTCTTTCAAAATTGTGAATTTCAAGGCATCTGCAAATTCAGTTGTTGGAAAGTTCTTTCATGATACTTAGGTGACTTAATTAGGTTATCTGTACCAATTTGATTGTGATGCAGCTACTAATATTTCATTTTTTATTTTCCCAGTTGATACAGATTATTGTAAGTATGGCATTTTTAATTTAGGAATTGATCTGACTTTGCTCTTATGTAGGCTCTCGGTTCATTAAGGGAAATTACAATGTACATGTACTTTAGCATACACGTTCTTTTTTCACTGTCTGAAACAGGTGTTGATTGGGCCCCATCAGATGTATCCGTTTCTTATCATAACATGACATGGAGGAGAGAAAACATCAACAACATTATCAGATTTGACCCTGCAGTGACATTTCTCTGCAACTTCAGTTTGAAATCCGATGAGGAGTTGCTATATGACGTCATCTGGTTCATTGATGGACAAGAAGTTGTCATTCAAACAGTTGATAAATCCAGTAATTATAAAGCAGTTATAACTGCTCATGATATGTTGAAAGCAGAGAAAAAGATTGGATCTGACGTAAGTGATTATTTTCAAGCTAAGAATATTCACTGAACAAAACTTCTAAGTGTTCACCTAATATTTTATAAGTTTTAATAATCAAATGCGTATAATAAATAATTTCTTTAATTCATTGTTAATGATGCATATTTAAGTTCAATGTTGCGTAAATTTCATGTAAGTATCTCGTCAGAATTTTAAGCAAAGTGTCAAGGAAATGATGTACCCCAAAAATGAAAATTTATACAAAATAATCTCTATGGAGTAAGACCACAACTCGCTCTAATTACTGCAAGACAATCTTTACTATTGGATACCATGTACCACTGAATAGGAGATTGACCAATCTGCTGCCACGCCTACTGCATAGTTCTTTCCAAACCGTAAAAACTGTGTGGAGGGGAGAGGCTTTGACATTCTTTGTAAAAATCCCAAATGTAATCAATGATATTAAGATCCGGGAATTCGACAGTGCATCGTCACACAGATGCCTTTTGGTCAATATCCTAGGGTGTTTAGCACGTAACTGCGCCGCTTTAAGGATGATTCAGACAGCTTGAGATGAAATTCGACTATCACGAGCACCGATTTCTTATCATTTTCACACGATTGAAATTCTTTGTTTTCATGTTTCTAAGATTCTTTTAGGTCAATTAAACACTCTTTTAATGTGATAAGATGCGAAATTTTGGCCTTAAACGAAGATCAAGGTCACTTCCGGTTTGGTAAAATTTTGTCCAAAACTTTCAAATTGCGATAAATTGGTGATTAAATATGACGCACATCTTATAGAAAAATGTGATAAAATGGGTTTTGATATTGGTTGTTAATTTTTAAAAGTAATATCAAGGACAATTAAACACTGTGATAAACGTGAATAAAACGTTTTACAAGGATATTCGAGATATCAACATTCCAACGGCTCTCCTTTCTATCTCAATGGTCATTTTGCCAATGTTTTGTGTTTTTTAGTTAAATCAGTTTTTTTTTAAATGTGATAATGATCACAAAAAGATGCTAATTACACAAAGCACGTGCCGCATAGTACAGATTTATTGTTTTAAGCTTCGTCACGGAACATTGGTTTTCCTCGGTGATATTTTTCTTTCTTTCTACAATTGTTGAGAATATTCATTTGTTGTAATAATTTGAAAATATCATATTATTCTATAAAGTAGTTTTTAAATAAATGCATTTATGAAAGTGAACACTTAGAAGTTTTTAAGTGTATATATTACTTTAAAAGCATTTTGGAATATCACTGAATAGCCGTGAATAGTCGTGATTTGCTGGGAAAAAAAGATTTTTTTCATTCAATAACCCTTCTTCGAAAAAATGTGAATATTTATTTAATTTTTCAAATTATACTTTTTTATGAATTTGTCAATCAAAGAGAGAAAAGGTGTGTTGCATATTACACATGTACCTGTTTGTTTATTGGGACAAATTAAAATTGTAAGCTTTTGATGAGGTAAGAAATGTCATGAATTTATCATTTGTTTGTTTCGTTGTAAGGTACATTGCAAAGTTGGCGCAAAACGCAAGAGAAAAAACCTTCCATGTCTTTACAAAGTTGGAAATCCTTTTTTTGCTGGAATAAAGGTAACTCATGTGAAACGTTAAGTTGACTTGTTTCTATTTATTAAGTATAAGTAAATTTGTACAGCTACATGTAGTATATTGATTAGTAGATGACTGTAGGAAATTCCGTTCGTTTATTCATTATTCTTTCATTCATAGTGATCATTGCCATCGTGTTTGCATTGTTTGTAAATGTGTTCCGTGTCAAGTGATTGTGTTTGGATGTCACGTGATTGTCTTGTTGGCTATATTATATCCTGGGTGAGAGTGGTAGAACCAATAAGTGTGGAGAGCGGTAGTTATGTGTGCA